CTTTGCAGCCCTCTCTATAAGCCAGCGTGTCCCTGCTCTGTGTGGCTGGTGTCTGCTCTGATTAGCTCATGCTCAGGGCATGTCTAATGGTTTAAATATCATCCCTGGGAATGGCAAAGGAGAACCCTGTGGACTCTAAGGGTGGGGAAAGCTGGGAAGAAGGATAAAGCCTGGAGTGCTAAACGCAGATGTGCTAATAGAATTGCATGCCAAAGGACATTACATTTATGGGGAAGTGAACCAGGAGGAGGAAAAGAGGTAATGTCGGATTAGAAATGAGGGTGTGACATCTGCAACCATCTGATCTTTAACAAATCTCACAAAAACAAGCAATGGGGAAAGGATTCCCTGTTTAATAAATGGTGCTGGGTAAACTGGCTAGATATATGCAGAAAGCTAAAACTGGATCCCTTCCTCACACCATATACAACAATTAAGATGGATTAAGGAATTAAACATAAGACCTAAAACCATAAAAATCCTAGAAGAAAACCTAGGCAATGCCATTCAGGGCATAGGCATGGGCAAAGACTTCATGACTAAAACACTAAAAGCAATGGCAACAAAAGCCAAAATTAGGACAAATGGGACCTAATTAAACCAAAGAGCTTCTGCACAGCAGAAGAAACTGTCAGCATAATGAACAGGCAACCTATAGAAATGGGAGAAAATTTTTGCAATCTATCCATCTGACAAAGGGCTAATATCCAGAATCTATAAGGAACTTAAACAAATGTACAAGAAAAATACAAACAACTCCAGCAGAAAATGGGAAAAGAATATGAACAGACACTTCTCAAAAGAAGACATTTATGTGGCCAAGAAACATATAAAACAAGCTCATCATCATCAGTCATCAGAGAAATGCAAGTCAAAACCACAATGAGATACCATCTCATGCCAGTAAGACTGGTGATCGTTAAAAAGTCGGGAAACAACAGATGCTGGAGAGGATGCAGCAAAATAGGAACGCTTTTACACTGTTGGTGGGAGTGTAAATTAGTTCAACTACTGTGGAAGACAGTGCGGATCTAGAACCAGAAGTACCATTTGACCCAGCAATCCCATTACTGGGTATACCCAAGGACTAGAAATCATTCTACTATAAAGACACATGTACACATATGTTTATTGCAGCACTGCTCACAATAGCAAAGACTTGTAACCAACCCAAGCGCCCATCAGTGATACACTGAATAAAGAAAATGTGGCTCATATACACCATGGAATACTATGCAGCCATAAAAAAGGATGAGTTCATGTCCTTTGCAGGGACATGGATGAAGCTGGAAACCATCATTCTCAGCAAACTAATACAGGAACAGAAAACCAAACACCACGTGTTCTCACTCATGAGTAGGAGTTGAAAAATGAGAACACATGGACACAGGGAGGGGAACATCACACACTGGGGTCTATTGGGGGATGGGAGGCTAGGGGAGGGATAGCATTAGGAGAAATACCTAACATAGATGATGGGTTGATGAGTGCAGCAAACCACCATGTCACGTGTATATCTATGAAACAAACTTGCACATTCTGCACATGTATCCCAGAGTTAAAGTATAAAAAAAGAGAGAAAGAAAGAAGAAAATGTGAGGGTGTGAGTTTCCCCTCTGCTGCATGGCCACTGACTCACTTTCAGGAGCCAGTGCTGCTGCTGGGGAGTTCTACTTTTGGTCCTGATGGAATACGAGGAGCAGACTTACCCTCCTGTCTTAAAAACAGCCAGAAAGCTGAACAAATGTCTGAAATAACAGTTAGTGGACACTGGACAATAGGCAGTACAAGACAGGGGAAGCCAATAAGAGCAGCCTCACAGGGGTCCAGCTCAGCAGTGCAGGAAGAGAGAGCCCAAAAAGAGCCCAAGGGCCTGCCCAGCTCAGGAGATGGAGTGCGGGCTTCAGGGAGGCCAAGGCAGCTAGAATATGCAGGGGAGAGACCTGCAGAAGAAGGAGCCCCAGAGAGTGGTTCAGAGATCTGCAGGGAATGCCTCTCAGGCATCAGCTGAGTACTGGTCTACACGTGCATGAGAGGCAACCACCAAGGGAGGAGCGTGCAGGCAGAACAACCTACAGGAATTTTTGGAGATCAGGGGTATTTTGTGTTTATGGGAGCAGCTTAGAAATATATCCCTAAATTATCTGATACTCTTCTTTTCAGAAAGAGGCACCTACTCCTCCCTCCCTTGAATGTGGGCTGGGCTTACTAATGTGCTTCTAAAGGACAGAATGTGGTGAAAGTGATGGTGATGGTTTGTGACTTCAGAGACTAGGGTGTAGAAAGCCTGATGGCTCCTGCCTTGCCCTCTCTTGGGTCAGCCACTCTGGGGAAGCCAGAAGCTGTATTGCTCAATCAGCCTCCTGACAGGTCCATGAGGCAGGAAATGGAGCCCCCCCATAGCCATGGGAGTTACCGCCCTGGAGGCTAATCCTCTGGCCCCACTCAGAGGGCTCCACTCCAGCCATCACCTTGACTGCGACCTCACAAGACGGCCCGAGTCACAGCCACCAGACGGCTGCTCCTGGATTCCTGACACAAGAAACTGCAGGGAATAAATACTCATTAATTCAAGCTGCTACATTTTGAGGTCAGTTTTATGCAACAAAAAAACTGTGTTTCCGCCAGCCAGACTTGGAAGACCCCCCTAAAATTCAGGACATAGAGGAGGAAAGGCAGAAGAGAACTGCCTCGCAGAGGCTACGAATTAGTCCCAGACAGAGGCTGCTCTGGATCCGCGGTAACAATGTTGAACATCAAGCCTCAGAAAGATCAAAGTAATCTTAAGTAACTTTACTGCGTCTCACAACAAAGCAGAGCACTGTTTAAAGGAATACAACGAAATCTAGTCACCAACGGTATAAAATTGACAACGTCCCATGTCCAATAAAAATACTGGCCTTGTAAGGAAGGTCCAGAGAACAATCCATCAATATAAACAAATCCAGAAATGACATTCATGACAGAATTAGATGAGGGTGTTACCACTTATAGAACCTATTGTGAATAGCATGAAGTGTAAACCCTTTGTTTCAGGGTTCTCCAGAGAAACAGAACCAGATACGACAGATATGGATACAGATAACTGAGAGGGGGTTTAGTTTGGAAAGTGGCTTACATGATGATGGAGACTGAGAAGTCCTGTGATTTGCTGTCTGCAAGCTAGAAAACCAGGGAAGCGGGTGACATAGCTCAGTCTGAGCTCAAAGACCTGAGAACCTGAGGGGCTGCCAGCCAGGTCCTGGAGTCCAGCGGCTGGAGAACCTGGAGTGCTAAGGTCCAGGCGCAGGAGAAGAAGGGGGTCCCAGCTCCAGAAGAGGGAGCGAATTTGCCTTTCCTCGGCCCTTTTGCTCTATCGAGGAACTCAACTGATTTCAGCCCACATGGGTGAGGATGAATCTTCCTTCCTCACTCAGTTCACTGATCCAAATGCCAGCCTCTACCAGAAACACTCACAGACATCCCCAGAGACGATACTGTGCCAGCTATCTGAGTATCCCTTAGCCCAGTCAAGCTGACACCAAAAATTCACCATCACACCCTTCCATTACAACTTCTGGAATTGTCAGATTGGTTAAAAAAAGAATACCCAACTACATGGGGTCAATGAGAAAGTCACTTTAAACATAAAGACAGGTCAAAGTAAACAGAATGGAAAGAGATACATATGCGATGCTAACACTAATCAAAAGAAGCTGGAGAGGCTGTATTAGTATCAGAAAAAATGGATTTCAGAGCAAGCAATATTAGCAAGGACGAGAGTCATTTGTTCATCTTGGACAATCCTAGATGTGTATAGTTCTCATAACAGAGCTGCAAAGTTCATGAAGGGGTGACTTGGGAAGGGAACTGCCTTGGGAAGGCTTTCTGAGCTAGGTAACACTTCCCCCAGGTACACACTACCTCCGGGGACTGCCTTGGTTCATGCAGCCATAGACAATTCTTGTTCTTGGCCAGGTGCTGTGGCTCACACTTGTAATCCCAGCACTTTGGGAGGTCGAGGCGGGCATATCACTTGAGCTCAGGAGTTCCAGACAAGCCTGGGCAACATGATGAAACACCGTCTCTATTAAAAAAATACAAAAATTAGCTGGGCGTGGTGGCGCTTATCTGTAATTCCAGCTACTCGGGGAGGATCACATGAACCTGGTAGGTGGAGGTTGCAGTGAGCCAAGATTGCCCCGCTGCACTCCAGCCTGGGTGACAGAGCAAGCTCCTTTAAGAGACAGAGAGAGAGAGAGAGAGAGAGAGAGAGAGAGAGAGAGAGAGAGAAGAAGGAAGGAAGGAAAGGAAGGAAGGAAGGAAGGGAGAGAAGGATGGATGGAGGGAGGGAGGGAGGAAGGGAGGGAGGGAGGGGAAGGAAGGAAGGGAGGAAAGGAAGGAAGGAAAGAAAGAGAAAAAGAAATATCATCTTGTCCGTTGATACAGGGTTAAATTTCGGGATAAAAAATTTGAAGCCATTTCCCCAGAGATGACTCTAAACAGAAATAAGCAAATGAAAGCCCAGAAGATCTGTGACTGCTAATCAGAGGAAGTGGGTCTGAACAAGGAACCACGTAGCCATAAATACCAAGCAGTGTCCAACAGGTTGCTTAGCCGAGGCATAAAGTCATGCCTATTCTAAAGCACTTCTCATAAAATTCTTCCCAGAGCACTCAGAGATGCTGTATCCAGTTTGCTTATTCAAAATTTGGGCACAAAAGAGATCTCCCTCAAGCCAAGGAGGAGACAGGCCTGACAAGGAGCAGGATGGCCTTCACAGCAGTGCAAGTGGGAGCCCCTGTGAAATTCTCCTGGAAGGCAGAACTAAGAGATGTCAGCCCTGAGGCTTAGCATCCCCATAGGAGGGACTGACTAGGAGCCTGGGAGTCCTGCCCCAGCTGTGTCTCTAAGTTGCTGGGTGAACTGCTGTAGAATGTGAGGATGGCCTGGTCATTTTCATTCTCGAGAGACACTGGGGAGAAAAAGAACATTTTGTGAATGATGTCATGTGTCCACAGGTAACTCTGAAGCGTGAGCTGCCAGAATTCAAGGCCACCTGCTTAATAGAAGACAGCTAGAAACCTCATCCATGAGCATAGTAAGCACTGCTGTTTGGTAGTTCTGTTATCTGCTAAGGTGTCATGACCGTTAGATAAATAATATTGTTTGGCAACTGCAAGGAAATAAACTGCAACTGCAAGGAAATTGGTTCCAAAAGACACCACTGGAGCTCAGGAGTTCCAGACCAGCCTGGACAACATGGCGAAACCCTGTCTCTATACAAAAAATACAAAATTTAGCTGGGCAAGGATGTTGCCCAGGCTGGTCTCGAACCCGAGTTCATCCATCGGTGTAATGCTATGCAATTGCTGAGTGGTAAGAGCTGGAACGGGTAAAGTGATTCAATATTTTATTGGTTGCCTGGATGCCAATATATCTCATTTAATTTTCCCCCAAAGCTGCTGAGGCGGGGATGGTTACCTCTTTTTAACAGCTGAGGATGCTGAGGCTCAGACAGCACTCAGCCACGTGGCTGAGCTAGACTTGAATTTGAGCCTGTTCAATTTTGAACCCTAGACTTTGTGCATCTGACCAGGTTTCCTATTGCTAATGAGAAGATCTAGTTATGTGCTGCATACAGTGTCCTGGTCCACCACAGACTGCACATGCGAAGCTGCTCCCGTAAGATTTGAATACAGTATTTTTACTACACCTTTTCTATGTTTAGACACACTTACCGACCACTGTTTATCTCTCTGGGCCTCAGTTTTCCTATCTAAGGAAAGGAGAGACTCTTAAGTGTTTTCTGCCTCTGGCTCTCCTTAGCCTCCTGTCAGTGTAGCTGTTTCCTCCTGTCAGCACTGCTGTTTGGTAGTTCTGTTATCTGCTAAGTGTTAGCACTGGGGAATGTGAGACTTGAGATGTGCTGCTTATGGCTGTGACAACCCCACACTTGTTTAACAAGGTCACGGCGACTCAGAGGACTGACTCACGGTGACATGTGGGGTCTTCTGTTTCCTCCTGGAATTAGAGCGCACCGTGACGGTCCATGCGTCCCAGCGTCACCACCACTGTTTCTAAGTACTGGAGTTCTCTCCTCCCTCACTGGTTCTGCTGAGGTCTTTTTCTCTGCCCCGCCCCTTGCACCTTGGTCTCCTTCTTCCTTCCTGCCTCTCTGCTGTTCTCTGTCCTAGCCACGCTCATTATGAATCGTTTCCAATCTGACCAGAGGAGAAAGGGTGTTGCAGACCCTCTTGCTTCATCAGAGGGAGATAGGCATGGGGCTTGCTGTGAACTCCCCCGCCCACAAGCGGGCTTTTTCAAGCACCTTTGTGTGCCTGACTGCTATGCGCGTGCTGCTGGCTGGCCCGTGGTTCATTCTGCTCCTCGACACCTGGCCTAGATTTGTCTAGGTTGGCGCCTGCTCTGGCCACCAAGGTCAGGTGAATCCTCTTGCTTGGAGACCAGGCAGGTCAAATCCTGCTTCAGTGCACACATGACCTTTCAGTTCACAGCGGCCTGGAGCACAGTGACAGTTTTTACATGACCACAATCCCAGACTGTGTACTCTCTGAAGACAGACACTGTATCTGGTCTGCTCCCCATTGGAGCCCCCAGTGCTCAGCCTAGGGCCTCCAAGATGCCCATCTGTGGCCACCTGCCTGTCAGCCTTTACCTCCCTGCCACTTCCTATGCCTGCACTCTAATCTAGGAGCCCCGCCCTAACTGTGGAGTGGGCCTCTGGACAGCCCCTGGTGACTGTCCAGTCCTTCTGTGCTTTGGTTCCAGATGTTCGCTCTCTGAGGATCACTGTCCTCCTCTCCCTGCGGAACCCAGGGCCTTTTACACCTGCCTCTTCCCCATGAAACTGTCCTTGCTCAGCCAGCCATGGCACCCAGGGGCTCCACTCCACCAGTCCAACTCCACTGTTTCCTGCCCTCCAAGGTGGTGGAGTGGCACCAGGTGTCCCCTGGTTCCCACCTGGTTCTTGAGAGAGTGCCCAGGACAAAGTCACCTGATGAAGGTGCCCCAACCAAGCAGTGGCTCTAGACCCCGAGGAGATGCCCTCCCTTCCCCGGAGCCCCAGGCACAGGTGCCAGGGATAAAAGGCTGCACCTCTGGGGGAAGAATTCATTGTCCTCTCTTTGGGATCCGATGCAGTTAAAGAGCTAACCATTCTCACAGTCCTGGGGGATCAGCCAACAGTTCTCCTTCCTACAGCAGCTGGAAGGGCAGCGGTGCTGAGGGATGCTCGCTCTTCCTGCCTACCTTGCACCAGGTATTCTGGGCCAGACAGCAGAGCCCTTAAACTGTGCAGGTGGTTGAGCTGGACAACTTCAGAGTTCCTGGGATACAATAGTTACTGTCACCAGCTGGGCTCAGCAGTGAACAGATCCTTCTGGGAAGGGCAACTCCTCAACTTACAGAGTTTTAGAATCGAAAAATCTTCCAACTCCACAACCATGACAGCAGCTTCCCCTGATGCCTTTTTCATCCTCAAAGCAGATCTGTGTCATGCGTACCTGCAGCACATTTCCCGGATTGTGAAACTGAGCCTCCAGAATCAGGATGCCTGTGCTGCTTTGCTAAAGCATTATTCAGCCCCTCCTTCCTCCTCCAGCCAGCTGGAGCAAGGTTACTCATCCCTGGAGTTCCCTCTCTTCCGAGTGGGGCTAGGTCCTGGGATTGGCCAGGGGGATCGCCTCAGCTCTCCAGGCTGAGTCACTGCTAGGTCAGGCCTGGTTGCTGACAGCACAGCCAAGGGCCCTCCCAGGGGGACTCCAGCCAGTGCAGGATCAAAAGCACCAGGGCTTTGGAAAGTCATTTTGTTTATAGCCTGGGAGCACACTGATCTAGTGAGTGTTTCCTTCTTATTGCTTGTTTGTAAAAAAGGCTCCCCTGACCCCCGGCCTTCCCTGAGGTGGCAAGCTGGGCACAGTGGGACCTAATTTGCTCTGAATCCAGCCACATGCTGCTCATCAGAGCCGACTCTAGCCCTGCTCGGCCCCCAAGCTCATCATTTTCAGAATGAGGGCTTTTAGTTGAATTTTCCTGTATTTTTAGACCTCCCATCTCCACATTGGAATAATGGAATTATTTTACACAAAAACCAAATTAAGTGGCCTGAAGTTGGACTGGCTTCCTGGAAAGCCTTTCCACATAGGGTAGACTTGCTTCCCAGGCCAGGTCCTCCCTGGAGGTGGGAGGAGAGGGTGCAGGAGGGCTTTGGGCTGGGGGCTTGCAACCTCAGGAATCTGTGGGCAGCTGTGATGCACTTGAAACTCTGGTCTCTGAGAAAACCTTGTGGAGGTAACTCACCCACAAACTGCAAGATTCTCTTTGTGTAGCCCCCACCTCTGCAATGTCAGCATGGGAGGGGGTTGCCTGCTTTCCTGGATGGGCTGCCTAGATGGGAGCTTCCCCAAGCCCAGCTGGAGCGTGTCCACACTTGGCCACATGGACGGGAGCTGCGTCCCTGGACAAAGCTCTCCAAGCAGCTGCCCCCAAACGTCTATCCCAAGCTGGCCGGCTTGTCCAATTCACTGAGCTGCTGCATTCCATGCTGTTTCCAAGCTGGCCTCCTCCCTGGCCCTCTGCATCTCAGCAGAGCAGCAGTTCAAGCTCCACACGGGGACTCGCCTACCGCATCACACACCTCACTGGCTCCATTCATCAGCAAGCCTGTGGGTTTTGCCTCCAAATCTCTCTCAAGTCTTTTAACTTCCGGCTGAGCAGCCCCTGCGATCTGAGCCATCCTCTCCCCCGGTTCCCTGCAGCGCCACCTATCTGCTGGCCTCCACTTCTGCAGTCCATTTTCCACGGAGTGGAGGAGTGACTTTTTAAAGAAGTAAATTAGCTCATATAGTTGTCAGGTTTAAAATTCTTTTTGGATCTGACGTGGTGGTTCACGCCTGTAATTTCCGCACTTTGGGAAGCCAGGGTGGGAAGACTGCTTGAGCCCAGCAGTTCGAGACCAGCCTGGCCAACATAGGGAGACCCGGTCTCTACAAATAATTAAAAAAATTAGCCGGTCTTGGTGGCACGCACCTGTGGTCCCAGCTACATGAGAGGCTGAAGCAGGAGGATTGCCTGAGGGCAGAAGGTGGAGGCTGCAGTGAACAGAGATTGTGCCACTGCACTGTAGCCTGGATGACAGAGTGAGACTCTGTCCCAAAAATTATTGGTTTTGGAATAATACCTAAATAATACCTAACTCCTTGCCTTGGCCTACAGGACCTAAATTTTTGGCCCCTGCCTCCCCTCCAGCCCACAGCGACAGCCCCAGGACCTTTGCACCTGCCGCTTCTGCTCTCCAGAAGGCCCTGGCTCCTCCCCCATCATTGTAGACATAGGTGTTTCTTGTCATTTAGAGTTTCAGTTCAAATGTGACACCCTCGGATTGATGGACATCATTTCATCACCGGACGTTATGTGGCTCATTATCTGTCCCCTGCCTGCCTCCCGGCTGGAGAAGTGCAGGAAGCTGCCTGTCCCTCTCCTGTTTAGAGCCACCCTTCCGCAGCTGGAGCTCCGCTTGGCGGAGGCAGGAGTGGATGCTGCCACCATCAGGATGAGGTGGCCCACCGTGGAGAAGCTAAGAAGAGATGGCGATCGGTCAACGTGGCTGCGCCTTTATGGTGAAAGAAATGAAGGCCGAGAGTCAGAAAGGTCAAGGACGGGCTCAGGTCCCGTCGCTGGTGAGGGGCAGGACCTACAGGACCGACGGGATCTTGGCCAGGCCCTGGGAGGTTTACCTGGTCATTTACCTGGCTGCCCTTACCATATACTCCTCCGTCCCCCTCCCTCCAGGCATCAGCAAAGGTCAATCAGGAGTGTTGAAGACATGCAAGAGTTTGGCTAGGGAAAGGAAAATCAGAAAGGTGGCCTAAGGGGCCCCACCTCCAGGAACGCTAAAGCAGGCGGCTAGTGGGGAGCTGCCAGAGCCGGCCGGCGGCCCTGAAAGCAGCTTCGGGCCAGGGCCTCCCGAGTCCCCCTCTCACAGCCCCGCTGGCCTGGCCCCGCCCCGCCATCTTGCCCCGCCCCTTCCCCTGCCCCGAGGCGAGTGGCGCTGACAGCGGGCGGCGGGCTGGGTGTTTG